TTAATATTTCTATTAATATTTTTTTTGATATGAAACAAAAGAATATTAATGGTTGTATGATCTATTTTTTAATTAACAACCTATATAAATATATTTAAATGCAAAAGGTAAAAGCAACACCAAATAGGTTGTTTTAAATATAATTGCAAACAATTTGAAAAAGCAGTGAGTGGATTTCATACTGAAACATTCAATCTACTTGTTCATCTTCTTATACACATTTTTTATTAGGTTAGTTATATTATCTTTTACATGACTAACAACATTAACTTTAAAAGTCAATATCTTATTGTTTAACTTTTTTTTTGTCACAATTATTAACACACAATAATGAATATATCCCAAAACAAAAAAATATGATTACATTCATTGTCCAATCTTTATGTCTTCGTTTGTTTCTTGGTGAAGAAGAAAGAATAGGACTATCTTCAGGTCGTAATGTCATATTGGCTTCTTTTAAACTCTTCTGAGATGTCATAGAAGCTCTTAAAGAATTTTCACCATCTACAAAGTCATCTTTATTTTTGTGAACAGCTAGTACCAATGTGTGGCATCCACCACAAGATACATATACAACATTGAAGTAATTAAAACGAGATAAATACACAGGATCAAAACTATTTGAGAAAGAATCTTCGCCTTGGCCTAATTTACCATGACGACCATCTCCAAAAGTAAATACTTTTCCAGATTCTAAAACAAATATATAGTAATTGCATTAAAACATTGCAATTGAAGTTTGTAGATTTAACAAAATCGTAAATAAAAACTGTGTATATCACAAGATTATAACTGAAGATTAAATATATAAAATTAAGATCAAAGAATCTAAAGATAATGATAAAATTTTGTTAAATTAAGAATTTTTATAAAACAAGATACATATTGTTTCTGTTTAGAGTTCGTCATCATACAAAGGTTTCACATGTTTTTACAGAAAAAAAAAAAAAAATCAAAACTAAAATTAACATCAAAAAGGTATTTATCAAATACCTTTTTTTTTTTTAAATCCCTATGTCTCTTTTTTTAATTTTCTGTTTTAAATTTTTACTGCTAACTCCCATTTTTAAGTTTAAGAAGTTCAATTCTTTATTAAAATTAAAATTGTAAAAAGTTGTACCAGTTACAACAGCTGTATGACTTTCACCACAAGATACACTAATACACTTTTGACCAGATAACTTTTTAATCTGTTTAGGTTCATTGACTTCAAGTAACTTAGTACCATGGCCTAACTGGCCTTGACTACCATCTCCCCATGCATAGCAGTGTCCTTGCTTTGTAATAGCTACTGTATGACGTGCTCCACATGAAACACTGATATATTCATCATTGTCTGCAGGCATAGCTACAGATTGCGGAACAGTAGTGTTACTAAGTTGTGAGCTAGATAAACCCAGTTTACCAAGTTCATTCTCACCAAAGGTATACAAGAAACCATCTCCTAAAGAGAATTAATTTAAAATATGGATATATATCAAGCTTGTTATAAACTGTTATGTTGTGCATTATTTATATTTATTTTGCTTTATATGTATTACGTTAATTGAGTTAAGCAAATTTATGTTAATTTATGTACCGTCAACTGGGGTTACTTTGATACCCGGGGTAACATTGATAACTTTTTTAGAATTACTTTTTCAGTATATTATCGTAATACATTTTTAATACTATTTTATTATCTTTTCTATTTTCAGGTTAAAAATAAATAAAACACTAATCACAAGTTAACAAAGATTTCACCAAATTGATTTATAAAAATACATATAAAAATTGTTAAAAATAAAAAAAAATTTACAAAGTTTTTTGTAACTTTTTTGTAAAAAAGTGTAAAAAAGCATATTCTAAACAGTAATAAAATACTATAAAAACATGTCTATAGGTACATACCTACCTATCTGTAATATGAGGACCTACAAGAGGAAGGACGGGAGTCATGCTTATCATTCACATTCAGAAACTCAGTTATTAGCGGACCTTCAATGTTGCCGGAAGGGTACTATGAGTTTGCTAAAAGCATCTAAAAAGTTTAAAATTCCATATTGCACATTGCACAAAAGAATGAAAGGTAAACTTGGAAAAAAAGTTAGACATCCAGTCGCACTTTTTTCTAATTACAAGAATCACCTTTTGAAGGCAATAAACGTTCTTTGTGATTGGAAAATGCCTGTTTATGGATTAGATATTCGTTTAATAATCAAAGATTATCTGGATCACTCCGGTGTTAAAAACAGACAATTTAACAATAATTTACAAGGGATCGATTGGATGCAAAAGTTTATCAAACGCCACAATGTAAAACCTTCACGCGCAGAGGTTTGTGGACAAATTGTGAATGCTTACTTCGATGAATTAGCGAAGACATTAGAAGGCATTGAACCCTGTAACATTTATAACTATGACGAGACTAATCTTTTGGATGACCCTGATACAAAATCAATCATATGCAGACGAGGACTTAAAAGAGTCGAACGTAAAATGCAACACTCAAAAAGTTGTGTAAGCATTATGTAGTGTGGAAATGCTATTGGGGTATTTATAGAAGTGGCCTAGAAGGAACATGCTATGACAACACAAAGTCAGGCTGGTTTAATTCAAGAACCTTCGAATGCTGGTTTCTAGAAATATTTCTTTCTAACGTTAGTAAAGATCATGGAACAAAAGTCATCATTGGTGACTATCTTGCCTCTCATTTTTCTCTTCCAATCATCGAGGCTGCCCAAGTGAATAACATTCATTTCACCTGTTTGGTACCAAATGCAAGTCATCTCCTTCAACCACTGGATGCCGCAGTCTTTAGATTCACGAAAAAAAAATGAAAGAGAATGTTGGCAAAAAGAAAGTTGCATCAAAGGTACAATACCAAAGACATATTTTCCTGGGTTATTGTTGAAGTTGTATCGAAGACTAAAAGAATAAAACCTGATTTCTGGCTTTTCGGCTTGCAAAATATCTCCACTAAACAGAGATGAAGTGTGAAACACAAAAGAGAGGAAAAAAGATAACTCCTAGTAAAGAAATAACATTAAATAATCTCAGTATGATCAAAGAAACAAAAAAACGAACACAGTGTAATGGTACTGGTGCAAAATTGGTTGTCAAAAAAAAAGCGATCAAATAAAAAAATCGAGTCTTCAACATCTTCAGATAATGATTCTGAAATTGAAATGGAACTTCAAGATGACAGTGAAAACTCTATTGAATCAGCTGATAAAACTGACATTCCATTTGAACTAAAGCAATGGGTAGTTGTAGCCTACACCGGAAAGAAATCTATTGTCAATTACATTGGTCAAGTTGTTGAAATGTTCAATAGAATAAAACTACTTCATATAAAATTTTCGAAAAAACAACCGACGAGTAAATTCATCAAATTTAAAAAAAGTAAAGATGATATGGATGAAGTTGTTCCATATTCTGCTGTGGTTGAAAGAATTTCAGATGAACCGAAAAAAACAAGAGATCAATATTGGTTCCCATACCTGTCTCACCAAGTCATTCAACTAAAATCAAGAACTTTTGATAATTTATAATTTTGAGTTTGATAAAGTTTGATAATTTTTGACATTTTTTCAACCAACTTTGTAATTTTTTGGATAGTATCAGGTGTAGTAGGTCTATAAATCTTTTTTATAAGCCTAAAAAACTATCAATGATACCCTGTGATGGAGTTAACTTGATATTTGATTGAAATACCATTTACTATCAAAATAACCCCGACATGCAGAGTTACATTGATAACTGTTCGGGCTTTAAAAACAAATACAAGACAAGTTCTGATATTTATAAAAAGCATTTTTTCCTGTTAAAGATAGATCATTTGGTATATTCAAACCAAAAACAACAGGAATTCATTAAAATTCTATCAGCACTTTCTCAAAAACCTATCAAAGTAACCCCAGTTGACGGAACTTTAAGCTAAAACCCATTTATTTCAAAATACTAGAAATTATCAAAAAAGTTGATTCTTGTTTAAGTTGTAATCATTATGTTATTGAAAATATTTTGTGATGTCAGTTATCAAACAATTTTTCAATAAAATAACTTAAATAAACTTGTTTTGCAATAAAAAAGTAATTTCAGCACTTCAACAACAATTCTAAACTTTTGATTAAATAGGATTGTCAATTAAAAATAAATAATCAATTATTAACAAAACAATTACAAATTTTAATAATAGCAAAACACTCTTTTCACACAAAAAAATACAAACAGTACTATTTGAAATTTCAATTTTAATAGTTAACCATAAATATTTGAATATGAACATAATTATGAACATTACTTACGTGTGACTAAAGCTGTATGATAGTAACCACAAGAAACTGACACAACCTCCTTTTTAAATTTCAACTTTTTTGGAAGGCTGTTTTCAACTTCTTCTCCAAGGCCCAGTTGTCCTTCATTATTGTTTCCCCAAACATAAACATCTCCATCCTCTATAATAATATAATTAAAAAAGGCATTTTATTCCTAATTTTACGTGGAGCTGTGGTCACGGAGCTTCAAAAAATGTTTACAAACTTTTAAACTTCATTAAGAGAAAAATGATTATCGTTTTAAATAACAATTTAAAAAAAATAAAACTATTAAAGCCCAGTACTCCTTTTTCTGTGAAGTTTTGAAGTTATTGAATGTTTTTGGTACTCTAATACTCCATTGCCCAATAAAAAATAATAAATACTTGACTCTTTAGCCTGAAATCCTTTTTGAGACTTCCTATTACTAACAAAACAATTCATATGCAAAAAGATCCTAAATTGTCAAACTAATTGTTTTTATTTCATAACTTAAGAAATTAAGTTTTAACTTTTTTATCTAATAAAAACATAAAACTTGCAAGCTTAAACTTTTTAAACTTATAAAATCTAAGTTATAACTAACAAAAAATAATTTTTATTAATTACATTACCATTCTAAATATTACCATGCATTAGCACTATATCCTCATTCTAAATTTTACCATGCATAAGCACTATACCTTCATTCTAAATATTACCATGCATCAACATTACATCATTATTCTATATATTACTGTGTATCGACATTACATCATAATTCTAAATGTTACCATGCATCAGCACTACATCATCATTCTAAATATTAGCATGTATCAACATTACATCATCATTCTAAACATTTCAATGCACTAATACTATATCATCATTCTAAATATTACCACTACATTTGAAATTAATTTTTTGTTTATTTTACACCAAGCACCATTATCTTGGCAAACATGCTTTAGCACTACGTCATTATTCTAAATATTGCCATGTATTAACATTACATCACCATTCTAAAATTAGCCATGAAACGCAAGATGTTTAGAACTTATTTTGTACAAATTGAAATTATTATTATGTTAATAACCCAATAATTTTAACTACAGGATCTTTAGTGTTTGTTCAAATTGTAAAAAGTCCAATTTTAACCATTTACCTGAAAGAATAATGCTGTGGTAGGTGCCGCATGCAATTTGTTTGATTTCCATTTGTGGTATACTTTCTATTTCTTTTGGAAGTAGTTCATTCTAAACATAGTTAACACCTTTTTTCATACTAGTATAAAATGTTTAATTTAAAAATAATAACTTATCATGGAAGAAAAAACTTAACTGTTTATGAAAAAAAAAAAAAAAAACCTTAAAGAGGATATAGAGTTATTAGTTAAGCCCAATTATACAAACATCATTTGTCCTATGCCAGCAGTATTTCAATTCTGGCATACTACTGAAGACTTGTAGAAACTTGTAGAAAGGTGACCACCAGATTATGTAAGAAATAACACTTATAGTTACTTCTTACATAATGAGGTGGTCACCTTAATGGAAATTAAGCTATGCTCTAACTTAAATAAAAACATTGGAATTATATTGCTTTTAACATTATTCTAAAAATGTACCTAAGTACTATATTGCCGATGCTCTAAAATTATAAAACAACATAAACATTTACAAAAAGCTGGTATTTACAACCAACCAAAATAAATATAAATATGCCATTAAGAAATACAATATGTAGCCATATATAGATTCCTTATCAATCACTACTCCAGCATACCCTTAAATATTTAAATTAAAACAATACTAAATGGGTGATTCTCAGATAAATAATTTGATAAAAGATTAAAAAAAAAGAATTTAATCAAGCAAAATATCTTTCCACCAAAATCTTTAACTTCGCTAATGCCAACAAACAACTTAAAACAACACCAAATACTTCATGGTGCTAGCTTTGAACTAGTTGAAACACTAACTCTATTATTAAACCATTTTCAAAAATATTTTGAACAATGGCTTTTTGAAAACATCATATTCATTATTCAAGTCATAAATATTAACTGCTACCAACAGACAATCAATAATTGACTATAATGAATGACTATCAATGAATGGATATCAACGAATGACTATAATAAAAACAATATTTGAACATATCCTTGTAAAAGATAAATTTTTCTATTAGGGATACCAATATTGAAAAAAAAACAGTTTACCATTTAATACCATTTATTACCAATAACTATATCAATTATTATTGATAAATTTAATAAATATCCAATTATTATAAAAACCCAAAAAACATCGATCCAATAAATAAACAAAAAAATACAAACTATTATTGCTAATCATTTTTTTTCCTTCATTTAAAAAATTTATTTTTCTTTCAACTATGGATAAACATTTGTTAAGTTTTGTACAGGTTATAACATAACAAAAAACTGTTAAGTGTATAAAAAGTATAGATCATCATACAGATGTCACAAAAACTGTGCGCATGTCACTTTTTTATTCTAAATTAATTCAAAAAAAACTTTGCAAAATAAAACAATTGTAATTTTATTTTGATATTTTTATTTTTAAAATTTCATAAGTTTTAAACTTATCATTAATTATATTATTTAAAAATAAAAAATAGTTTTAGAAAATATAAAATTAATTTTGGAAAATATACAAGATGGCTGGTAATTTTTTTAAGAGGATTACCAATCATTGATTCCCCTTTTGGATCTTCTAGAAAAAGTACAATCAACAACATCATAAAAATAATAGATGATTGGGGATATGCTATTGACACCATACTTCTCTAACAGCTATATTCATTAATTTTGTAATAGTATTCAACATCATTGACAACAAGGTTATCATCCTGAGTTACATAATAGCTTTTAAAACATAAAAAACAAGTTATGTTCAATAAAACATATGCAGAATGAATGAATAGTGTATTATATATGCATTAGTGATACAAAAAGACCTGTTTGGCCCTCATTTTAATTTACTTACTCAACACAAAAAACAACTTATTTCAAAGGACACACACAAGAAGTTTGCCAACAAAATCCTAGCTTACATAATTGGTAAAAAATTTTTCCCTTCCTACTAGAAGTAGCAGATAGCCTTCAACTATGGATGTAATGATAATAAATGCTAACAAATGCCAGCAGCCACGTCAAAATAATTTACAAAAAATTTGAGAAATTCAAGATGCAAGTTTTTTAAAACAACTTTTTTTATACAAATCTTTTTCAATCTTCCATGGGATCCATATAATGGATAAACAAATTCACATTGAATATTTTTGCAATCATACGCATCCTAAAAAAATTAGAGTGTCTGACCCCACATAGTTTACACAAAAACAATCTTTTACAATCAAAATTAAAAATCTACAAATAAAAAAATCCGTAAAACATTCTTCTGCAAAAATATTTCTGTTGTTTTCATAAAGATACAAATTAAACTGATGTTAACTCTAGTTTATATTTTATCTAAGAAATTCAAATTAAATTCCAGAACTATATTAGTTTTATTAAATTTAATCGCATATTAATATAATCGTTTTATTATTATATATATAATTATTGGTATAATATTTACATAATATTTTTAAAATAAAAAATTACATAAAAAAAAAAGAAATACTTCTTTATCTACATGTCCCAGCTGACCATCTTCATTGCAACCAAAACTAAATAATTTCCCAGATTCTTAAATAGAAAATACACAAAATCCTTGTCACTGTAGCATTAAAAAAAAAAGTCTCAGCAGGAACAGCAAGCGATTGGTTGCTCTACCTGACCATAGTTATAATATTTTGTTGTGACAACTTGGCTATGGCTTTTCAGATATTTCCAATATGCGCTAAAAGAATTAATTTAATTGAAAGCCATGGCCAAGTTGTCACAAAAAAGTATCATAAAAGTAGGCAGGCAGAGCAATCGATCACTTGCTGTTCCTGCCGAGGCCTGTACATTTATTGCAACTATTGAAATATGAATCTGTACTTTTACATTAGTAATAGCTAAGATTGATGGTGAATAAAAAAATAAAATTATAAATATAGTAAAACGATATACCCGAATAAACAATGGTGTGATTTCGACCACATGCAACTTTTCTAACTTTCTCTGGCTTTAGTGCTTAAAGATGAAACAGTTTGTCCATACTAATTAAAATTATTAAACAATTTCCAGTATCTTGCTCTATTAACAGCAGTAATATTTCAAAGTATTTTGTAAAAAATTAATTTTTTACAATGTACTTATTCTGTTCAAAATGAAAATATTTAATAAAAAGAAAATATATAGATCATACGTTTTACGAAACTGGGTTTATTTAAAGATTTTGTATGACCAAGTCCAAGCTGGCCCCAATCATTGCTCCCAAATACATACAAACGACCACTTTCTACAAAAAAATATGACTTATAACAATAAAAAAAAGCTTAAAATCTAAATGCAAAAATATGTATACAATCATTCATCTTAAGTATATTACATTATTCAACCAAAACTAAATATTTATTATTATATTTTTCTTTTTTTATTTACAGAACTAGGTTTGCTGAGGTTTATGATAGCTTTCCAACTATAAATAGATATTAGACTTTAAATTGATTGCCCAAATCTAATTTCTATATACACATATAATTTTAAAAACTATTTTAAAGAGATGTTGCATGACTTAAAGTTTTGATTCCTTGATGAAATTATTTAGTTATATTGTATTAACTACAATGTTGAAGTCTGAAGTCAATATTGAGAAAATTAATTCCAACTCCCAAAAGAAGTAGTTGTAAATTAACAATGACTTTTTATAAACTTAAAACATACTTTACCTGTGACTACTGCAGAGTGTTCGTCTCCACAAGCCATTTCAACCACACCATCGTTTTTAATCCAAAATTTATTAGCAATATTATCAGCAAACTTACTCTTTCCAAAAGTAAATACTGCTCCCAAATCTATAAAAAAATCCATAAAAATTTTGTTCTTAATTATATATTTTTTAATTAATAACTACCTAGTTAGATGTTATAATATACACACACACACATACATACATACATACATGCATACATACATACATGCATACATGTATATATATATACACATATACACATACACACACATACACATATATACAGGTTAGGTTGTCCCAAAAAAAATTTTTTATTGCACACATGTTTTTTCCATTTCCTTATGTCTAATGAGTTCATGTGACTAAAAAATTTTTCTGAGGTCAAATTCAGCTATATGCAAAACCTCATTTTTTATAAAATTTTCTTTTTACAGATCTTTTTACATTTTTTTAGATATATAAGAATCAGTCTATCTAGTCTATTTGGTACAAACAGGGCCCTGAGCTTTTATAGTGCCTTTTAGGGCCCTTTAAAAAAGAGAGAAAAAAAGACGAAAAGGAAAAAAGCAGAAAATTTTCTAAAATAGCTATTTTTGTTTAATTTAGAAAGTGTCACTTAGAATGCAGTAAATGTCTTCAAAAATCATATCTTGACTTGAATGCTGCTGCATCACTTCTAAAACCCCTCAATGAATTTGTTTCAAATCCCGAAGAAAAATACAATAGTTTTGTAGAAAGTGGTAAAAAATTAACAGGGTGTGAAACATTCATCAAAAAAAGAAATAAAAGAAGTAGAAAATATGATAAGTCGGAATATGTGTTGATGAATTAAAACCACAACTATCAAATAGGCAAAAAGCTTATACTGAATTAGGTTGTTTATTTGGCTTCTTAAATAAATTGAATAATTTGACAGTTCAGGAAATTTTGACAGCTGCTAATAACTTTCAAGTTGTATACAAAGATCATATTAATATGGATTTGGCTGACGAATTATTACAATTTTTTTTTGATAATGTGTCAGTCTTAGTGAAATATGTGTCAATTGAATTACAGATGTTTGAATTCATTGAAAAGTTAAACTTACAATCAGTTTTTCCCACTTTGGAAACTGTCCTCCAAATATATTTATCAATGATGGTTTCTAATTGTTCACATAAAAGAAGCTTTTCTGTGCTGAAAAGAGTAAAATGTTATCTAAGAAGTTCAATGCAGCAAGAGAGACAGCAAAATTTAGCAATTCTTGCTATTGAAAACAATATATTTGATGGGTTGGATACAGCAAGCATCATCAATGTATTTACGCATTCAAAAATAAGAAAGAAAAAAACAATTTCTTAATTATTTAAACTTGTGTTTTTATTCTTGTACATGCCATTTGCCAATTTCAGAATTTCTTAATTATTCAAATTGTGCTTTTTGTTCTTTACAATATATATATATATGATTTGGACTTGTTTTTTTTTTGTAGTTCAGTTATGCGGTAGTGGTGTAATGGTAGAGCGCTTGCTTCATAAGCGAGTGGTTTGGAGTTGGATCCCCACGACGTCCCTGGTAGTACCGCGCTCAACTTGTTTCTCCGTGCAGCGGCCTTGTTTGTCAAGATTCGTTTTTCCAAGTTAAAAGAGGGTTATAACCACAAATAAGTAGCCTCCTTGTCTGTAGTGGCCTTCTCGGCCTTGAGGAGGTGAATTAACAAAAAAAAAAAAGTTAGTATTAGGGTTTTCGGTTGCACTTTATTTTCGCATTAGTGCCTTATTTTTTCTTATTCAAACGGGGACCAAAAAAAGTCGCAGGGCTCATAATTCCATAAGCCGGCACTGGGTACAGTAGGTTCATTGAAGCCTGATTCATAGAGGGTATCAATAATAATAACTTGTTGAACATCCTTTGTGTTTTCTGTTATTATTTTGATTTTAACTGCTTATAGTAATAACTAAAAACTTTTTTTTTTAATTGTATATGAATTAATTTTTCATATATAATTATGTAAAGTTATGTATATCTTCAATATACATATATTTACTTAAAAATTGTATAATAAAATGTAATTTTTTTGGGGACACTAGAATTAAATGTTTTTAAGCATTTTGTTTTAGCATTAACTAATAATAAAAGTATTAACTGAAATGGATTGCACTCAAAAAAATAAAAATAATAAAAGTGAAAAGTGTGTCAACAAATCCAAGGAAACTGCTGTTTCTCCTAAAATATAAAATTAATGAGGTTCCAATAAACCAGCAACGAAAATATTCTAAGATATATCATAATTATTTTTATTATTTGCAATACATATTTACTCTAATATCCCTATTTTATGCAATACATATTTACTCTAATATCCCAATAAGTGTTAAAAATGAGAACAATGAGACAAAAAATTATGTAAGAACAAAAAAACCATTATGATAAATACTCGTTTATTTTTATTTTAGATCAATAAAATTTCAATTTACTAAGTTGATAGTAGCCTGCCCAAAGAAGCATCAGAACAGGGATTCGATCTGCAAAGATAGTTTATACAAGAATTCTGAACAAAGATGTGTTCTTGTAAAAAGATATGTTCCACTGTAATTTTCTCCACTTGGAAGAAAGCAGGCTTTAAAGATTTTATCATCAGTGGACCCAGTGTCAGGGATAGTGTCATCATCAGTGTCAGGGATATTGAAGCTTTATAATAAGTACATAAATCTGCATCATCTCAAATCATTGAACTGGAACTCTAGCAATGGCAACTTCTCTAAGATACAGAATGAGTTTTTAGAGGAGAGCAATACACTCTTTGATATTTCATTGGCAAATTTTAAACAAAAAGTAAACCAGGATGGTTTTTGTTCTGAGAATGCCAAAGAAGAAGGATATTCAGTTCTATCTAGATCAAAATAGAAAGCAAAACACGAATATCACAGAAGAACTGGTTCAAGTGTTACAAAATTCAGTTAAGAATAAATTTATTCAGCTCAAGAGGATGGAGGAGGCAAGAGGTAATGGTAGAATCACAATGAATGCAGTAAAATCCAATGAAGGAGGTTTTCATTCATCTGGAAATGATTCTGAATTTGAATTTAGTTTAGATTATTCAGATGATGAAGATTTACCTAATAGATTTAGTCATTCTACTAAATCTAAGATAATAATGAGTATGAGATGCTTAAGATCTGGTTGACTGTACTGCTGCAGTTTCTGCTTGATACAGAGTAGATATACGCTCACAAACTTCATTAGTAGCTGCTATATGCAATAAAGTTGGTGTGAATTTAGAAGATATTAATCTATCAAGGAGTATAGTCCATAGAAAGAGATTCAAGAAGATTGAGAAATTAGGTTATAAGCTCAGACAAGAAATTATAACTACTCTGAAGAGAAAAAAGTTCATTTTGATTAAAAGAGGGTGAAACAAAATTAAAGAAGATCTAAAACTGTTTTCATAGAAAGAAAAGCAATCAGTGTAACACCCGCTGATATGGATGACACAGATGACATACTGCTAGGTGACAAAATCTTATTCTTTAGGTTTATCGCTAATGCTTTATACATTCTTACCTTGAAAATAACAAATAAGATCACCATGATTATGAGTGAAGTGGAAAAAAAGATGATAGACACAACAGCCATCTTCACATCTGTCTGGTATACACCTTGGTTTTTAGAGTCATATTTGGTTGCAAATTCACCCTCAAATAATCTTGCTGCTTTCAAGAATGCTTTTTGCATCAAAGATAAATATCCCAACTTTGGTTTGGCATTGGTTGCTAGTATGTTAAAACATAACTGGTACTTGACTGAGCTGTTGGTGCTGCTATCTCTGGCTGCTGAAGATGTAGAGCAGGAAGTAAAAAAAAAGATGTTGGATAGATTAGTTTAGTATGATGTGAGCTACCAATTATATCCATACAATCCATTAAGATTTAGAAACTGGTAGATCCAGAACATTGACTCTTGTTGAAAATTCCCGAAAAAAACGGAGGAAGAAAAAAGCCCCAAAGTTGTTAAATTTATTCAAAAAATTTGACTTACAACAAGGATTGTGTATAGAAAAACATATACTTATTCAGAAATTTGTAGGTGGATATAAATCTAACAATATGCAACAAAATTTTAACGCTAAAGACAAAATTTTAAGGCCAGAGACAATAAAAAGAAGCTTAAAAAAGTTCTTTCTAAGTCTCAATTAAAAAATATATAATTTATTACTCCTGAAATACATAATTTTTGACACATTTTTGTATTTTTATTAGGGAAATGTAAAAAATCTCAGTATTAAACAAAAAACGGAATTTTACAAACTGCCAAAATTAAGGTCCAAAAATGTTTTTTTTATACATACTTGCAATCATCTAGAGACACTAGATAATCGGGAAAAACTGAATGTGCATAGAAATTAAAAAAACAGTGTAAACTTGGAGCACCCTAATATAAATATATATATATATATATATATATATATATATATATATATATATATATATATATATATATATATATATATATATATACATACATATATATATATATACATATATATATATATATATATATATATATATATATATATATATATATATATATATATATATATATATATATATACCTTATAGTGTAGTCGAAAGAGTCGTTTAATGTAAAAAAAGTCTCTTACGACTACAATTTTAATTACCTCGTCTCTTAAGCTGTATTTAATTGTCGTCGAAATGTCAAAGCAATTAAATTAATGCGGAAGTACATTAAATTTTATTGTTTTTTAAAAATTTTTTAAAAAACTGCAATAATAACGACTAGAAAGTTTTTTTTAATTTGTAGTGTGTTTTTGTTTTATTAAAAAACATTTTTAAAACATGCGTAAATGTTGCTACATCGACTATCTTATAGCCTGACTCGCAACAGAGTGCTGCTACATCGACTGACAAATAGCCTGACTCGCAACGGAGTGCTGCTACATCAACTGACAAATAGCCTGACTCGCAAGGGAGTGCTGCTACAACGACTGACAAATAGCCTGACTCGCAAGGGAGTGCTGCTACATCGATTGAGGGTTTGGTTTGGGCAGGCAGTCTATCATAAAAAAAAAAAAATTTAAGTTTTTAAACTTTTTCTGGTCTGGTTTATTAACGCGCTCTTTAAAACTACAGTTTATGGGAAACTCTTTTTAACTACCATGCAAGAGTATATATTCATATATATATATATATATATATATATATATATATATATATATATATATATATATATATATATATATATATATATATATATATATATATATATATATAATATATATATATATATATATATATATATATATATATATATATATATATATATATATATATATATATATAACTTAAGAATGTGTATTCAATATTTAAAAAATAAACTAAATTTCAAAAACAGAGTGTTCAACAATATTTCATTTATTGAAGGTGTGAAGTTATTTTCTTTTAATAACCAAAATTTAGGGTGTAGTTTTTGTACTTTCATGTGTTAAAAGATTTTAAATTGGTTGTACATTTTAATTTAAATGGGAAATTGCTTATGCTGAAGTATACATTATCTTTCTATTCTGGTTTATTTGAGTTTAAGATAACTTGGTATTTGAGTTTAAAATGACTTGGTAAAAAATATTGTTAGATAAGCATAAACTGTTCAGTGGAAAAAAGCTTTTTTTTTGCAAATTTTTCTGATAAGGTTTTTTTTATTACCATATAAAACATTTTTCTGTAATGTAAATTTACAATACATTTAGTATAGTTTATGATTTATAGGGAAATGTTAGTCAAATAAAGTTAAAAAGACTTATCAAATTTTGATTAAATCATTTTTACTGAATAAAACATTGTACCAGATTATATTTCATTGTTAATTATTTTCAGAAATCGATTTAATGCTTCATTTATATACAAGTTATAATTGCATTCTTTTTTAATTTAACTCTGTCTGAGATTATTAATTATGCTTGAGATTATTAATTGTGCCAGATTTTATAAATCCTAATATATGTGTGCGTGTGTGTGTGGTTATATATATATATATATATATATATATATATATATATATATATATATATATATATATATATATATATATATATATATATATATATATATATATATATATATATATATATATATATATATATATATACATATATATATATATATATATATATTTATATATATATATATATATATATATATATATATATACATATATATATATATATATATATATATTTATATATATATATATATATATATATATATATATATATATATATATATACATATATATATATATATATATACTATATATATATATATATATATATATATATATATATATATATATATTTATATATATGTATATATATATATATATATATATATATATATATATATATATATATATTTATATATATGTATGTATATATATATATATATATAATATATATATATATATATATATATATATATATATATATATATATATATATATATATATATATATATATATATATATATATATATATATATATATATATATATATATATATATATATATATATATATATATATATAGGCTTGGTCAGGAAGCGGGAGCGATCGCTTTCGATTGCTGACCACATGAATAATATTTAGTTGCGAAAAGCTGGTCAGACTTTTTAGTCGTTTTGAGAACATTTTAAAAAACAAAGAAAGCGCAAAGATTAATTGGACCGATGAGAGACAATTACAAAAAAAAAAAAATTAAGCAAATAAAATATCTTTAAATGCAAAAAAACTTAAAGCTAAATTACGTTTAGAACAAATATTTTCAAAACATTGCTCTTTTATAATTTTTTTTCATAAAATTAAGCGATGTTTTTTATATAAAGTAACATCTTACGATTGTTTAAAAAGGAAACCAATATTCTTTATTTAACAAAGTTTGCAAGTTTTAGTTTTATTTAAGCTAAATTATTTTATTAATAAAAAAAGTTAATTTTTTTAATACCTATTTTATGTTTCGCGTCGTTTGAAAAGTTAAACATATTTGAAGCAATTCTTCTTAGTAAGATAAACAAATGAAATAATTAAACCATTGAATTACTATAGAAATTAAATTAACAAGATAGATATCAACTAAAAAGGTTGAAAATACTTTATGATGAGGAAGCAAAACTGCTTCACAATATCGCTGATGATGTTTAGTGAGTAGGCTTTTTAATTTTAATTAGTAATTAAAGCAGAAAAAAGTATAAAGAGTTTTAAGAATGGCAACTTAAGCGAAAATAATTAGAGTTAGTAAACCAATATCTAGAAACTTTTCTTTATATCTAACTATTTGCTATATATATTTGTGTTCTGTCGTGACCTCAGGCGCGGTGCTTGTTTATTCGCAAGTTACTTTGTATGTGTTGTTTGTGTTTAGTAACCAGAAACTTCTTATATGTTTGTTACATAATTAGTTTTATTAACTTTAATGATTATAACATTAAAAAACACAATTATTTTTATAAGTCTTTGTTTAAATCATAAAAATTGCTTTAAAAGATACATTACAATAAAAAACAGATACACAAAATTACATTTACATAAAGAATACATACTTTTTAAATAAAAAATAAGAATATACTAATAAAATCTATAATTTATAATAAACTTTTAAAATTTTGACAATTTATTAATATATATTTGAAACATTTATTTTTGTAAACAAATAATATATATTCTTAAAACAATTTATGCTAGAAATCTCAAAACGTAACAAATCGTGAATAATACAATTTCTAACACATTTCAACAGAATACTCTAGAACTTTATTTCACTTAGTCAGTGTATTTTTTGAACCAATAGAATTAGTTTGTTCATTAATTTGGAGGGTTTTTAGTGTTCGCGAATATTCTTTTTATTCTTTCGTAACAAGATGTTTTAAGAACATTAAAGTTTTTTATGTTTCCATGTATGTCCATTAAACAAAATTTTTTTGTTTCGTACATAAACTTAAATGTTCTCAAAACGACTAAAAAATCTGGCCAGTTTTTTGCAACTAAATATAATTTCCGTGGTCAGTATTCGAGAGCAATCGCTCCCACTTCCTGACCAAGCCTATATATATATATATATATATATATATATATATATATATATATATATATATATATATATATATATATATATATATATATATATATATATATATATATATATATATATATATATATATATATATATATATATATATACATATATATATATATATATATATATATATATATATATATATATATATATATATATATATATATATATATATATATATATGTATATATATATGTATATATATATGTATATATATATATATATATGTATATATATATATATATATATATATATATATATATATATATATATATATATATATATATATATATATATATATATATATATATATATATATATATATATATATATATATATAATGTATATATATATATAGTCTTGCATGGTAGTCGAAAAGTTTTTCCTGTGAACTGTAGTTTTAAAGAGAGCGCTAATAAACCAGCCCAGAAATAGTTTTAAAACTTGAATAATTTTTTTTAATTAAATGATAAACTGCCTGCCCTAACCAAACCCTCAGTCGATGTAGCAGCACTCCTTTGCGAGTCAGGCTATTTGTCAGTCGATGTAGCAGCACTCCATTGGGAGTCAGGCTATAAGATAGTCAATGTAGCAACACTACATTTCAAAGGTAAGTGAGAAAAATATTTTGGCACCTTAAAGCAGTTTTTTTTAAACATATTTTAATATAAAATTTAAAAAAAAGTAATTTATCTTGAAAATAGTACTTTTCAAACACAATACTTCTCCACAATTTCAATGATTGGTTATCTTGGTTTATAATTACCTATAACATTTTTAAAATTATACACTAATATAAACTAATTAAATTTAGGAAAATTAATTTTTTTTTTGATTTATTATTGTTTTTATTCGAAAATAATATATACTTATTCTTATATAAAATAAGTATCTAAACTTATAATTCTTATAAATTTACATATTCTTATATTCTCAGAAAAAAATAAGTATTCATTGAAAACTTGGCGCCTTTGAAGCTTTGGCCCCTGGATGAAAATCAACATATACCCAGCTTCCACCGGGCCTGTATATATATATTCATACATACACATACATATATATACATATACATAAATAAAAGTTGTATAAATTTTCATCTATATAATTTAATTATATAAGATTTTTTTATAATTAAAATAAAACAACTTTAAACAGCGATAGTCTTTTCAATAAACTTTATTTAAGAATCATTAAAGTTAATTAAAGTTAAATCATTAAATCATTAACTCAAAAAGAAGAAAGATTGATATTAGTTTTTTTTTCTGTTACTTTTTTTAGCATGAAAATGTTAAAAATTTATTTACTTTATTTAAATATAAAAGATATAATAATTAAACATACAAGAATACTGCCGTCCTAAGAAAAAACGCAGTAATCGCAAAAATTGAAAAATCGAGATTATTGCACCAAACGTTTTAACATCGTTTTCTGTGTAATAACGCTCTATATAAAAATATTGTGGTATATTCCGAAGTCATCAAACCCATAGTTCATTTTGCCGTAAGTTAAAAAAATATATACACACAAAATTTAAAAGTGGCTTTTTCTCAGAATGTCATTTTTGTTGTTTACTGCGTTTTTACTTAGGGCGGCAGAATAGTTGGTTAGTAAGTCATTAGGGTGTGCCAATTTTAGACTTTTTTTGAATAAATGGTTTAATAAAATTTGAGGTAAAAGTAAAATTTGAGGTATAAGTAAAAGATGTGAAATTTTATGGAGAATCTAAATCTGAATACATTTTTTAAATCAGAAAAATATTTACTTGGGTGATTAGCCTTTTTATAAAAGTAGGAAAGGTTTTTGTTTTCTTTTAAATGGAATAATGACGTTACTGGGCAATACTTTCCATAATAAAAACAGACTTTTAAGCAACAAAACAAAGTTAAATTTAGTTTATAAAAAATTTATTTAACTTAATATGTATAAAATGTTTTGAAAAGGTTTTGTATTAAATGGGTACAATAACTTTTAATTTCTAAAAAAGGTTTACATTTGAAAAGAAATACGGAAAAATGAACGTTTATTAAAGTTTTAAATAAACAAATTTATTTTAAAGCAATTTGATTATGTTAAGTTAAAAAAAAAATTGCATTTTAAATTTTAGCAAAACTTAATAAAAAAATTAATTGTCTAAAAAATGATTTGATTGTCTGTTTTTAATATTTATATATTTATATATATAAAAAAACCGAGCGCTGATATATATATATATATATATATATATATATATATATATATATATATATATATATATATATATATATATTATATATGTACATATATATATCAGGGCTTGTGATGAATCAAGCGCGATCGCGCTCCGCTCGTGAAACGCGCCCGTTAATGGTATTTTGAAATGTTCCAAGCGCGATAAACAACTCTGAACTCGTTCAGCCTATAACGAGTGTATAAAATAACGCTCGTCCAAGAGTTCGGGGCAAAACAAATAATAACTTTTTTTTTTAATTTTCATAAAATATGAAAAAAAGACTTTTTAATAAAGATTTTATATTATCGAAGCACTAATATAATATAAAATAAAAAAAGCACTACGTCGTTCTTTTTTGCACTAACCTAATGAATGAGCAGATGGAATGTGCATGTAGAAATTCAATGCAAATACAAAAATGCACAAATAAAACAATAAAAAATTAGTAAACCATTATAAGAAAATTGAAACTGCAGAATATTTCTAATCTTGTGAAAACATCAAGTAAGATTTATTTGATTTATTGTTTGTAATATTCCATACATCGTTTATAATAAAAATAAATAATAATGATTCAGTAATTTTTTAAATTAGCTTTTGTTTATAGTATAAGTTTTTTATTAACTATTATTTATTTTAACTCAAATTTAAAACGATTCTGTTGTTTAGAATGTCCGCAATCAATGACATTCCAAAAGGAAACAAAGTAATGTTGTCAACATTTATTAAATGGAAAGTTCAAGAGGTAATAGGCTTTAGAACTGAAGTTACCAGATATGAGTGACGAATTAGCTGCATTCAGTTTCGAAAATGTAGAAGAGGAAACACCGTTGACAACAGTTGAGGGGAAAATCTGCTAATTAACCTATAATGAATAATTTAAAAAAAAAAAGATTTTCAAACTTTCTTGTGTTATTTTTTTAAGATAAAAAAATCGTAATTTAAAAAAGAAATTTTAGAAATAAATTAATTTGAATAAAAAATATCAAGAAATATAAAAACTATTTTTAAATACATATATCAAAACAAGGAAACAAAAAAAGGCAATAAATTATAAAAAAGTCACTAAATTATACTTCAATACTAAATCAACAAGAAGTTGCGTTTTTGTTTGATATATTTTTTTTTATAACATAAATAGTTAAAAAAAAATCCCAATCTGACAATAGTGTTATTTCATGAGTATGATACTATTTATAACATTTGTTGACGAAAGAATGATGTAACAAATAAAAAAAGATCTTCTTCAGCAATTTTCATGATCACGCTTGTCGACGTTATCTTGAGCGCACGATCACATATTTTATCACGCTCGATGAAAACACAATTTTACGAGCGCGATATAACACGCTTGACGATTTTATTCGTCACAAGCCCTGATATATATATATATATATATATATATATATATATATATATATATATATATATATATCAGGGATGAGGAGTCCCAAAAGGACTTATATCTCTCCTTTTTCTATATCTGTAGTGTCCAGAAGTTCTAAACATGTTTGTTGACTTATGATCTGCTATAAGAAAAAGATTTATGAGATTTAATGACTTGAAATTTATTGTTTTTAAGCCCGGAGTCCTTGCCCCCATTATACCTAAGTACTCCGGGTTCAAAAAATGATTGTTCCTCAAACCTAAAAATCTAAAAAATTTTTCTATTAATAGCCCATAAACTTATTTATATTTTTAGAGCTCTTGGATACCAAAAACTAGGATATATATTACAATAGTTTGGCATATAAATTTACTGTTTGTGGTAAATTTAGCTCTTAACAATTTTTTTTCTTTATGCAAAAACCATTAAATTTAATTGGGGAAAGCAATTGAATTTTAAGGTTTTTTAAAAAACCACAAAAAATGAAATTTTATAGACTGGAATGTTTTTTAATTTTTCAATATAAATAAAATCACCCTGAATGCTTTTATTCAAATTATTTTACTATTTACATAAATCGACTGACAACTAATATAAATGATAAGTAGGTAGAACATGCAAGGATTTATCTAAACAATAAAAGCATGTTTAGATAAGCCCAATGGCGTCACACTAAAATAACCTGCTGCTGTGGACTTCAGTACATACATTGACTATATTATAACTTGCTACTGCAAAAAAGTGACGCTACATCAACTGAGGGTTTGGCATGGGACAAAAATTTTTTCTTTCATTATTCTTCTTTTTTTTTTCCAGATAAAATTTATGCTTCAATTCTGATAAAATTTTCACTTCAATAATACTGCATTTTTGCACTTTTTAATGATTTGTAACAATTAAATATTTGATCAATTTAAAAATTTCATGCTATTTCTATAGAAAAAATTTAAAATTTTTTTAATAGTTGTTTACCTCAAATAAAGAAGATTATTTCTTCAAGTTTTAGTTACATAATAATTTGTTATCTCATACTTTTAAGCATTATAACTAAATATTTACAAAATATTCAAAAAATTTTAAAAATCTTAGTCACAACAAATCCAAACCATAAAAATCTAACGGCAACACAGAAATGTCACGCACCTACACTATCTGTTATTAAGTCACAGATATATAATATTTTTTTGATTTTACCTAAATAATTACTAGGTACGATCAAAAAGTAGTTTCTCTGATATTTTTAAAAAGTTTTGAATCTGAGATACTATTTTTTAAATTTTTTTTTAGTTAAATTATGATATTTCAAAATATTTAAAATACCATAAAGTTAGGTTTACCAAGAATATTAAATAATAAAATTTTTCACATAGATATACAAGTAAATCTTTAAAATAAATATATTTATTTAATAGTCTTTTTTAAATAATACAATGTATATACATCTGATTTTAAACTGCGATTTCGACATGGCATTGGAAATAAATAACAAATAATTTTTAAAAATCATACCTGGAATTTGATCATCATCATCAACAGGATAGGACATTGTTGATTAGGTGTATGCGTTGATATCAACATTCCATATTTTGGTTGTTTAGCAAGCACATTTGTTTTTGTGTCAGATTGTAAACACCGATACGATAAATGTGAACAAGCGAGTTTATTGTATGACAACGATATTTATAAATAAATCACAAGCGGTTTTCACGCCAACTTAGCCGTAAACGAAAAACTCTCTTATTCGACGTTCTTCCGTGAACGATAAAACAACCAAGATGAAAAAATGTTACAAATTTATTCTGTAACTTTCAAAAATTTAGAAAAAACTAATAAATAAAATAAGTTTATTTTCGGATAGGTTATTTCTTACATGCATATATTACAGACATGGATACATTATTATTGGATACATTATTTCTTAATATCTCCTACTCGTTGTTATACATCATAACTTGTTTTTGCACAAATTTAGATCTTTTTGAATCTGATTTACACCTACATATAAGGAAACACCTAAAAACAATTAGATGAATCTGATTTACACCTACATATAATGAAACACTTAGAAACAATTAGATGGTATTAGATGGTAGTTTTGTTGCATACTGTTTGTTAACCGTGTTGACTGTAGTTTTTTGAATTATAATAAAGTAATTTAAGTCTAATAATAATAAAGTCGCAACTCATAAAATTTCAAATCTTCTGTAGATGGGTATAATAAAGAACTAGTTGTCCAATAATTTTCTTTCTATTATTTTAAAATGTTTGTTATAGTAATGTTTAAGTATGAAGTTTAAGTTAAACCAAGAATTAGAATTGTTAAACAAAATTCATGGTATTTAAAAAAAAAAAAATTAACAAAAGTTTTAATTTTTTAACAAAACATATTTTGTTAAAAAATTTAACGCATTGCATAGTGTTTAAGAAAGTCAAAGTACAAATTATTTAAACGTTTTTTTTATTAAAATGTTTGCCCGTAATCTTTAAAACCATAATCTAACTTTAACGAAATTTTAAATAACTTATAAAAAAACCATTGTTTTGCCTAGTTGCATTCAATATTTAACGCATAATAAAATAAAGTATTATTTTTATATAAAATTTTCTATCAAGCTTTGTTTGCGTGTTTTTGTTAATATTTGTTTCAGGTGTTTTTTCATTTTTAAGTTTTAGAAACTTTTTTATAAACGATATGTAACTCTCATACGTTTCCTTTATCATCTATTTATGCAGCTCGTCCACTTGTTTCTTTCATTGTCTATTTAGTTCACTCCCTTGTTTCCTTTATCGTCTATTTATTTAGTTCACTCATTTGTTTCCTACACCGTCAATTTATTTACTCTCTTATTTTTTTCACCATCTATTTATGTAACTCGCTTACTTGTAATTTTCCTTCATCATCTACTAAAATAGTTAAGCTATGCTTAAATTCAATAAGTTGTTTCCTTTACTATCTACACAATAATTAAACCATGTGCTTTCTTTTACAGTTTACATTAAACTTTTGAACTGATTTTTTGAGAATTTCAAATCTCGTTTTCCTCACAACAGAAAAACGTTTAATAACATCCTCCTACTACCAATGTTAATTATTTATTTGTCTTCTACGAATGTTCATTCAAATGTTTTTTTATTTTTTTAAATTTACTTCTGATATATTGTAAGTTGATTTTTCAACTTACAATATATCAGAAGGCGGACTAGGAGTATATCAGCCTAGGTGGAGATGAAATACACCGGCCCAAATGTATAATAATAATATCTTTATTATCATAGATGTAAATATAGCGATGCTGTCGCGCTTCCCCCTCGAATTAAAAAAACATGCAAGTTTCCCAATTTTTTCTAATCTAAACAGGGCAGCTCCACCTAAATAGTATTATTTGTAATACTTTTAGCTTTATTTATTATTAACTATGTTTATGCCTAAGCTATTGTTTGTAATATAAAATAGATTATAACTCCTTGTATAGGCATATAGTAAGATAATTTTATTATTACTTTTAATATAATAATTAATATAAGGAAATTAAATGTAGGTAGGTAAAAAAAAAGTTAACAATTTATTATTAAGAAACAACATATAATATCAGTTTAGGATAACATTTTATGCATTAAACTTGAGCTGTTTTTAAGCTACTCTACAACTTTAGGTATCTCAATGTCTTCTAATAGTTGTTTTTCTACTAACATAACAGTTAGTGCTTCTAAGTTTTCTTGACATAAACTGGAACGAAGACGGGATTTTATCATCTTAAATTTGCTAAATGTTCTCTCCCAGTTAACTTTAATTACAGACAAATTTAAAAAATATTAATATGCCGTGCATAAATTACTGTATGCAGAAACATGCATGTTTAGAGAATATAGTATTTTATATACACAAATTAAACAGCTCTGCTAAACTGTGGATTTCATTAAGTTTGGATAATTTGCATTTATTTGTATTATCTGAAATCAATAAACAAATTAAATATAAATTAATTCAAGCAAAACAAACTAGATTAATTTAAATTTGATCAGAGAATTGAAATTTAAATCAGAGATCATATTTTCTATCACTAGCTGATGATTGATCACTAGACTTCTCATTGTGGGTAATATTTTTTGTGCTCTGTTTATATGTGTATATATATATATATATATATATATATATATATATATATATATATATATATATATATATATATATATATATATATATATATATATATATATATATATATATATATATATATATATATATATATATATATATATATATATATATATGTACATATATATATATATTTAGTTCTTTCCACAACTGACGTTGTAAAATTAAAATAAATTATAAAAAAATTGTATAACTCCATTTTTAAATCTCCTTTTTTAAAACTAATTATGTCATCTATATGTGTTAAAGCATCATCTGGCATACTTTCAACAAGGTTAAAATTCTTAGAAATTAAATGGATATCTAATTAAATTCCTATTCTTTGAAAACCTTTGATCTAGGCTGCCTAATATTTGATCAATTATTACTCCAAAAGTTTGTACTCTAAATTATTCTTTTGAGTTAGTTAGAACATGATCTTTACATTTAACACACTAAGCTGATAACTGAATAATATAACGCTATATAAAGATCATATTCATTTTATTACATGATTATTGATTATATCAGAAATGAAACTAAAATAATTGACTAGACTGCATGACAGACAGCCAGATTACCATAATATCACAAATTTATAATTTAAATTTAGAGCCCCTATATTGACCGGCCCAGGTGGACTTCTTCGCCATTCCGCCCTGGCCAGTCCGTCCCTCTGTGTGAATGTGTGTTTCACCATTGTAATTGCGTGTTTCACATATATAATTGCATATCATGTTTTGTTTCTTTTATTTTTATGGTGTTAGGGCATCTTAAGTTAGTATTTAATCAGTAAATTATAACATTCAGATCTGAATTTATATTTTAAAATAAAGAATGATACAACTTGCTTATATGCAAAAGATTAAATAATATTATTTTTTGTTGACTGAAAATTTTATTAAAAATAGGAAGACATTAATTGCATTAAATACCTTAAAGCAATAAAGAAAAATGCTTTAATTTTTTAATTTTGAAAAATAATTAAATAATTAATGAACTAAGTGGAACAAAAGATACAAAATAGAAAAATACTCCAAATTTTCCTTCATTGAGGGATCCACTACAGTCAATGAGGTTTTCATGCTTCTTTATTTTAAAACTTTGTATCATATTTGTTATATTACTGTTATATTAATAAATTATTTTATTTTTTACTTAATTTTATTTCAAATCATTATATATTTTGTTTTAAATTATTATTATGTTTCATTAGTGTCAGAGGAATGTTTTAAATATGTATAATGTATAAATGCATTTAAATTTGATATTTTGATATAAGTATGCGCTTTATATATTTATTTTTGTTATTTTGTATTTAATTATGGCGGTTTTTTTTTTTTTTTTTTGAAAATCCAAATATATCAAACAAGTTTTTAAGCTTGTAATTAATGGAGCTGGAGCAGTCGTTATGTCAACAAACTGAAATAAAAGTCTGAAATAAAATATTTTATAAAAAATAGTATAAGTTTGCTCAAAAATAAAGGACTAAACAAATCCAATATTAATTTAACCTGAGTATCTCTGGTAAAGTCAGCATTTTTAACACGCTTTGTTTTTAGCATTTACTAGTTAGCTAAGTATTCTAGTCATTTATTAATTTTCTCTAACATTTTAAAAAGATCTTATTTAAAGAGACTTTGGTAGAACAATATATTTTTTATTATTACTGTTATACAAAAGCAACTTATTCGCAGCAAGAATACCAAGAGAAACTTAGTTGACGTCAACAATTTGCAGATGGATTTTATCTCAATACTTTTTTTTAACAAAAGTATTCCATCTTTAGCGTGATTACTTGCATTGATAATATCAATCTATTTATTCATCAATCTATTTATTTATCAACCTATTTATCAAAACAAGCATCTAAAACAGATTTACTTGATAAACAAGTTAAAAATATCGTTATTATTTTTTTCCAAGCTAAACATCAAACTTTTTTTAAGAAATTTGTTACCATAGATCTAGAGACTATACAATAAACTCTATTTTATTAAAGACCATAATCTAACTATAAATTAAATCTATATTACACGCTTTTTATAAACATTTTACACATGATTGCATTCCATACGTAACTCAAAGTTGTTGCACTTAGAACTCCCTTCTACTACATAAAACATAATGGTTCGTACTAGTCTAGTTCAAATAGATAGAAACTTTAAGTATTTGTTACATAATGCGAACTTTATATTTTAGCTCTACAAAACAAAATTACATGTGAGTGGATAAAAATGTTGAATAAAAATTTAATAAGTATCTTAAAAATTATTTGCAACAGTATATTTTTTTTATAAAACAATTTTTTAGTTGATCAAGGTTCTTAATTGTTAAAGAAGAATATTTTTAAAATAACTAGTACAAATTATAGCAAATTAAATTGAATTAGTTTTTGTTAAACTGCCATTTGTTGAGCGTCTGATGATGGAAAAGAAACCTGTCTAATAATGGGGCATAAAGCCGAAATTAAAAAATAAAAAATTACATGATATCAGTTTTCCAT